CTTCTTCGATAATAAACAAATCATGGACGTAGATAGCACACTGGTTAAAGTGCGCCCACTTCCACAGATTGAGTCCCGCCTACTCAAGCCTGCGATAACATTGGGGTGTCGCTACACATAGTGCTTTGCTTCGATGGTTCCTTTTGAATACTGAGAAATATGCTGACATTACTTATTTAATTGGCATGGAACCTATAAAAATCCTGAAATGAAATAATATTAATGTTCTGTACATTATCCTTATTTATAAAGCGCTAACTTTGTGTGTCGGTTTGTGTATCTGTATGTGTGTGTGTGTGTGTGTGTGTGTATGTATGTGTGTCCGTCCGCAAAATGAAGTGAGTGAGAAGGAAGCTCATGGGATAAACAAACCGCTAACAAATCGGGTAGCTTACAGGATTTGAGATATCAATGTTTTGTAGCAGGATAGTTGTGATAACACTCTTAGGGCTATATAAACACCTGCTTAGCACACTTCCGTTCATTCCACATGGTGCTGCAGTGGCAGCTGGAGGGCAGTGGAGAGAGGAAGGGAGGATGAGGAAGGGAAGCGAAAAATCTACCGTCATATCATGATTGTGTCCCTTCTACTGTATGAAACACCATTGTGTTGCATACGCGTCACTTCCACGAGGTGTTGGTGTCACAGGAGGAAGGGACCATAGCGGAGGATAGAAAGCTTGCGCAGGAAAGGAAGGTCCCGGCGGTTGACGGGGGACTAATCTGGTTAATAAAGAAATGATAAAAATTTATTACTACCCTGTTATAAATAACGAATGAAAGAATTCATTACTGCTCTGTCCAGTGTTTAAACGGATATAAATGTGTAAGGGAAATGATGTTTGGTTCCAAAATAATATTTATTGCGAAGACTTTCAAATTTTGGCGATAATCAATAATTCAAATATGATAGATAAGATAATATAAGATATCGCAAATAATATATAATCATGAAAATGATTTAAATGACTCCGTCAAATGATTGAATAGAATTCTGTGGGGGATCAATAATATATGGATACCACAAGATAAGTAACGCTTAATTGATCTCCCTGAGATTGTAAACAGATTCCTGCGACTATCACTATATAATGTTTACAAGTAAATAATCCGAATTTTCCCTCCTCCTATACTGTTTCATTTTTCTCCCTTTCCACCTCGTTTACCAGCGCCAACGGGGCTATCAAGATGGAACAGAAGCGATTGGTAGGATATTTAAAAGGTCTGCTATTCATCAAACTCTCTTAAATATGCGGTTCTTATAGTTTATAAAAGTAGGCTAAGTGGTCTGGATCAAAGTGCGAGTAGTTAATATTATTTATAATATGAATTAAAGTAAAGTTTATGAGAAACGTGCGTCATAATAATAATTCTCGAAAACAAATAAATAATAGACATAGGCTATAAACAAATTATTGATGAAGAACACACCTATTTTTAAGAAAGTTATTTATTTAGTTATTTTGACAGGAATGCAAAGGCTTACAGGTCAATGAAAACATAGCTCCTATGTTGAAAAGAAGAACTGGTAAATAAGTAAGTCATATAATCAGAACAAAATTGGGCATAGTATTGAAAGGGGAGATTTCAGCCCGAATCTATCAAGGGTTCTTATTTTGCGAGTCTGACTCCTCTTCATGATTGCACCTCGAAAAAAATCATTCTTGACGGTAAGCCCATGAGAGTAGCGCCCGAGGTGGTGTAGGGCCATGTGGCGCCAGCTATGTACTGCATGGACGGTTCGTGGGTTAAATGTCGGTTGGAATCCAGCATCAAACCTTTCATGCCTTCGGGGCTGACTCATTGAGAACACTGACTGCATGGGAATGCGAAGATACAGACAGTATGTAGGCCGACCTCCGTGGGACCCGGTAAATGCCAAGCCGCATTCAAATGCTTCTGCGATTCCAAAATGAGGTAGAATGAGTGGCGTATCCCAGAAAGGATGGACGAACGTTGACTGCTCATATTTCATCCCCCAACACCATGAGAATACAGTAAAAGGTTGAGTGCGCTATAAAAGGAAACTAAGCTGATTTTCGTCTCATCTAATTTCCTAGAATAAGCATAATTACAAAATGCAACTTCGAATGGCTCAAGTGGAGGGACATGAACTTTGAGAGGATTTGGAGTGCCCAATCAAAGATTTCAAATATATAATAGAAAATATAATGAATTTTACAAAAAGCTTTCCGATACTATTATTTCTCACATCCAAAAAAACAGGATGAGTTTTGGAATGAAGCCAAAAGTTCAGGAAACTGGACTTAAAGGAGGCAGAGAGGCAGAGGACGTAAATGCAGCTAAAAATGGAGAAGCAGAAGCAGAAAGTGGAGACGAATAGTGGCAAAAAATAGGGCCTCATCAACGAAATAATAGTTTCTCTCCTTTGA